TCTTCCGGAAAAAATAAACTATACTTATAAACGTCAAATCGACCCGATGAGAATGGCCAAAGTGATTTAATGGTGACAAAAATTTATTTACTGTGAAATTTTGGTCGATTTGTGTTTGCTGGTATTTTTTTTTTTCAAATGTTTTATAATCGTGTTTTAGCAGGAAATAAAATGTTAATACAATGAACCATTCACGTTACTTACATTATTATAATATTAGTCACTCGACAACAGAATGAACAACAGAAGAAGATCCAGATTTATCATTTAGCAAACGGATAACTGAGCTGACTACAGACCACAGATGTATTAATATATTTTATACAACTAGATAGCTGATTTAAATCGTGATCAATTTTCATAACGATCACCATAAGTACTTTCTAAGGTCAAAAACTGAAGCATCTTGTGTGTATGTTACTAGCACGCGTACTGGGGGGCATTGACTCTTTAACATTTGTTGATGGTATATTTTTTAATTTTAGTAAAGTGGATTGTTTGACAAAACTGTTACAAGTGGGTGGGATTTTTTAGCTTGTACCTTTAAACTGTAAATAATCAAAACACGACTGGTCTAAAGTCACAGCTTGTTAACAATGTGTTATAATGAATGAAAAAAAAAGTTAAATTTCTTCAAATGCTAGTATACAAGTACACCTACACTTTGAATAAAATTATTATTATTATTTAATTGTTTGTTTACAATCTGTCTGTATACTTTAAACTCGCGTTAAAGATTATCAAAAATATAGATTCAATTTTTAGTGTGAAAAAAAAATGTTAAATATTTACCTAAATCAATAACTATAAGGGATTTTTGGATGATGGACTTGTGATCGAATCCAGACAAAAGGTTAGATAAAAAAAATCTAAAAAAACACAATCATCGAATTGTTTATGGCTTGACGCGATACAAAACATAATAGCGTTCAGTAGAGGTCATTTTATATCACTTTCGGTTTTCAGCCATAATAACGGTACCGAACAACCGGGTTACTTTGGACATTTGTTTTAAATTCCATTTGAGCTAAAATTATGGTACTGATGACCGAATGAGCAAGATTGTCTTATTTGCTGTAAGCTAAATTCAAATATTATGTACTTGGTATCAAAATTCACTTGGATAGGTATTGCTTGGGACACGACGACAAACCTAACCTAACCTAACCAATTAAATGGTTAGAAATTGCATGTTAAACTCACAAGAAGTAACTTGGCACAAGACTTTTAAATATTATTAAACTACAAAAGAGTAAAATTCAGTACAGCCAGACGGCATAATTCGAAATTACTTGAATATCGCCCAAGTTAACCAAGCAACGCGGCCATGCTGGCTGGTACTGCAGTACTTCCTAGTCCTGACAATACACAACTGTTTACAATTATTGCGCCTCGAGTAACACGCGGTCGTATTTTTTAGTTTATGTCTTAAAAAATGCGAATCTAAGAAGGTATTTCCCGGTTGTTCGTCAGGAATTCGTTTACAGAAAACGCTATCCGACGGCACCGGCCGAGGCTATGCGCATTCCCGGAAACGCGTATCGCGAAAAAATCCAAACAATAAAAAAAAAAATAATAATAATAATAAAAAAACCGCACAATACTTAATTCATAATAATAATTGCTATAACGATCGGTGAAATCGACCCGCCGAGCCGGTCAGGTGGTTATCGGTATCAGTCGGCCGTTGGGCGCATATTATTCTTCTTTTCTCACGTTATATAGATGCGGAGGTGCTATCGTGAGATCCCGTCTAGTATTTGCATTCATAACTGTAAACCGTGTTCCAGTGCTCCTTCCTGTCATCCGACACTGCTTAACCGGAGTCTGGAAACGCAAGCTACTAAACTGATGATTATTATTCTCCGCCACTTGGCTTAACCACCGCCACTAACGCGCACTCGAGTTGATTAATTCATTCGAGTAACAAGTGGAGCTTTTCTTGCCCCTCGGCACCACCCCCTCGCAGCAGCTCCCAAGACAATTTCGAAACGCTGCTTGCTCGGCTTAGGCCGAGGTTCATAAACAGTGTGCAACGATAAATTATACTCTTATGGCCGGGCTTTTAACAGTACATACGAAACTGGCAAATGGCTCGGTGGTAATAACAGCAGTACGTTATTATCACGTTTATTGTATACAGACATACTCAACTAAACGTTTTTACCAGGCGTTATCCGCTGTCGGCGCACGCCTACGGAAAACGTTGAAAATAATTGTCTTGTTTTTCATTTTTTTTTTTTTTTCGACAATCCGTGTACTTACCGTAGGAGTATGTGCTGCGGCGTATAAAAAGAAATAATATAATCACTACGGTTACGCCATTTCCACTTGTCGAATACACACGGAGCAACGCAGGACGAGACCGTACAAAAGAAGACGAACAAGAGCTAATGGCGCAAGCGTCCTAAAGACGGTATAGAATAGATAGGGAGAATTTTATAATAACGACGGGGAATGGGGCTTATGGGCAATGTAGTTACGAAAGAGGCTAGCTTTTGTCTAACCATAATCTAATCTAACTAAAGCAAACGTTTCCGAACCAAACCAAACATAACCGAATCAGAGTACTAATAATTGTTAATTTTCAAACGGCAAATTCAAAAACTGCTTCCAAAAATTGAAAAACTTCCACTCCTTCGAGGGAAAAAATGTGATGATATTCTTTTGACTGTACATATAATATATATATCACTTAGCACTAATCTAATTTTCGAATTCCATGAAGCTTTTAGGCAAATTGGTCACCGCAAAAGTATATTCTATGATAAAATCGCTGAAAATTCTAACATTTACTGTAAACTGCACGTCGTCTTTGTGATGATCTTTTAGAACCGTCTTAACGTTGTTAGCAGTTTGGGAACCTCGAACATGCTGTATCATACCTATATTGTGACTAGCATTACATGTGTGGACGGGATTTGGCAGCAAGACAACAAGGTCGCTACGATGGCGGAAAAAAACGTTTTCGTGAAAAACCGCATCGAGAGAATTTCGTCGTTGTTTGGATTCCTAGGCCGAGTATAATAATAGTAGTACATGAAAACAACACACAATGATCATCGCATATAAGCATCGTTGAATAGCCTCCGGTAACGGTTTGGTGTACGGTGGAATGCGAAGGTCGTACGGCGATAAAGATACCTGTGCTCTGGTGTGTGTGTGTGTGTGTACACGCTATATTCAGTGCAGTGTACACACTTGTGTGTTCTACAAAAAATAAAATATAAAACAAAAATCAATCTGCCCGTGTCGCTCGTACCGTTAACCGTACACACTGGCGAAACCCCTTGAATGAGCAAATTCGGTGTAAATGTCTACGGTGCGCGGATGAGATACCGTGAAGTAACTGTCGCGCCTCGGCTAAATGCACTAGACCCGTATAGAGGTATCTGTTGTTGACGGACAGGCACACCGGAGGCTCCCAAATAGGTTGGAAAATCACACACCGAGTGTATACAAGGAAAAATACATCCGAAATTCGTCCTACAAACGCCACGATAATCGGCCGACTTATCCAGCAGACTACTTAACGACACCGAACGATTGCTTAAAATGTCGAATTTATCGATTGCCCTTGTTCAGACCTACACGGCGGCATTCAACCGTGGAGTCAGTAGCCAACAAAATTGATAATAATAATATACTCCACTGTATTCCGTTTTTTCAATGGTTTAGCCTTCGTCACTTCGTCCTAGTCCGTGACCTTAAAACGCAAACAATACCGCCTTTAGCGCTTCCTACCGCCGTGGGAAAAAAAAAAACGAATCGCACTTAACTACCTCCTATTCATTAGTAACAATTTTCCCCAACTTCAGCGACCTTCGTTCTCCCGAATAACACCGCGGCTCGTGGCCTTTGGAAGGAGTCATGAAGATGGCATTTTTCAATAAGAAATTAATTGGGACAATCGATCTGGTTAAAGCGACGATAAATGCTGACTTGCGTTTCACTGAACAGTATGGAAAAAATGTAAATTTGATGAATAAATCCAACATATTTGTCTACGCCGCATCCCATAATACACGAGTGTTGTCAGACACTATGATCATATCTATCCGTCACAATTCAACACTTTCCAATCTATTCTATCGAATCAATTCAAAATAATAATCGACAATATCGTTTTTAGTTACAAGGCGCAAAGTGCAAATGTCTTCTTAAGTATTCTAACATAATACAGACGAAGGATCTTGTGAGTACTAACAATTGACAATAAAAATCCGTTTTTTTAAACTATGTTTCAATTACTATTTTGTAAGTGATAAAGATTTTAGATCAAACATGTTATATCAGTCAACTGGCAAGATATGGCTGATTGGTTAGGACAAATCAACTTATGAGTGATATGACAGTGATAAGAATGGACATTGATAAGGATAAATATAAGCCGATAACAAAACGATAAGGAAAATTATAAGATTGAAATCAGCTGGCAATTTTAAAACGCTATCCAGGTGTTACATAGGTGTTGCAACGGCTAAGAAAAACATTAGTAAAATATGCGATCAACCATAATCGTATTCACTCTAAAACTAAAATAAAATACAATTTCAAGGCACATTATTCCGTTTACAATGATTTTTTTTTCTCGATATTTCATTTTTGTACCACCTACATCGTACTCCGAAGGGTTTTATTTGCAATTGATTTAATAATTTCCGACCTCGCTATGCCTCGACCCCACTGTGCTGCCTTTTAACATACTATAGCCGGATTTTCATACTTTGAATAGAAGCTGACGTACTTATTACTTGGGTAATTTACAAACTCTCGGTAATAGTTTTTCAAACGGACGTTAAGCAGTCTATTTAGTGTGTGTGTGTGTGTGTGAATGTACTGAAGTCTTCCACGAGGTGGTGATTAACAAAAACGGTGTCACGTTTTCAATAGAGAGGACCCGACTGAAGGAGTCAATATACACGTCAGCGAGGTTCTCTGGTTCAAGCGTTTTTGAGTGGTTTTTTTGTTTTTTTTTTTGTTTAAAGAGGATATCTTACCTGGTACTTCTTGATGCTCTCCAACTGCTCCTTGGTGGGTTCCGTCGACGATACGGTAACAATCGTGTTGTTGTTGATGCTGGCGGCCTGGTGAAGGAGCTGCTGTTTGATGACATCCGACCGGGGCGGCGGAGGCGGCGGTTCCGAGGAGTGTTGTTTGTCCAGCACTGCGGAGCCGTTCTGCACAACAAAACACACATAATAAATATCATTGCCCTGGCATGCACAAACGACCACGTTAACGACACGCACTGTATTAATCGAGAAATAGACAGAGGACAGGGGAAATTAGTATCAAGCGAAACCGTACGAGTGAAAGATGGAGAAAATAATCATACACGGCCGCGTCGGGTATTGCAAAGGGGAAATGGCTAACGACTGTCACCGTACAATACAATGAACCTCATCGAGCCGTTCGACCGCCCATCATTATATTATGGCCCGAGAAACGCTATTGATATTTCCAACACGCAGGTGGTGTACAAATGAATGAACAATAATTTGTTTGAGTCTATTAACGACATCATGTCCGTGAACGCTAAGGTTGGAAAAATCGACTAAACCGGTGGTTACGAGAAGTTTAGAAAGGCCTCTCAAAAAAGGGTACCGAAATCTTTTCCTCGAGATGTCTCTGTTCAGCCGAGTTTACTGTCTCTAAACAGCTAAGTCTTTTTTTATCAATAACCACCTACGAAATGTCAAGGAATTGTTGTCTTCCTCTTATCACCACCTCATCCGTTTTCGACAGAGTCATAAAATACGCTCATCCAATCGAATCGAAATCGTCCCATGCCGTACATAACGGTGTAAACGGAGCAGATTTTGGAGTAGACAATGGAAAAAGACTATCAAATAATAGAGAGAGATAGATGCAAGTAGCTGTTGTGGCAAATGACCAGTAGTAAGTCAAGAATAAAATAAAAAAAAGAGCAAATAAACCACGAAAAGAGGGTTGGACGCACAAAATGTTATTTTTATATTCAGTTATCGTCCGATTTTGAATGTCAATATCTTCTAACAGAGTGATAAATGGGAAATCCCAGTTTCCTTTTAAGCATTCCGAGTCATACAAATTCCTTACACTTAAATCACATGTAAATACTTCAATTTTTTTTTTCATTCCATTTAATGTGTTTTATCATCAGTTATTTCCATCGAAGGCTCTTACTCTATCGAAAGCCACAAGAGGCAAATTTACAATCTAATCTACATTTTAAGGAATCGACAATAAGTAAAATTATCAATATTTTCTTATATTTCTCGATATGCAATTTACTTTTTAGCATAATAATTAAAGAAATTTGGCCAATTTCCAAAAATATCTGCAACTCTTTCCTCCAAAACGTTTGGATGTTTTTTATATTATTTTTTTTTTTTTACATTTCTAAGCGTCAAATAGCATTTTCCAATTTGATTTAGACTATAGTTATGAAATTGTAAAAAAATTGTATTGAAGAGTAAATATGGTAGTGGTGAGGATTTGTTTAAGCATAAAACACATTCTGCGTAGAGACACGTCGGTCGTTGAGTATTCATGTAGTGTGTTTAGACTTTCGTTTTAATCAATAAATATACATAGAAATTAACGCTCGATTGAATTATTGCCAGTGGTTTAATATTAACAAAAAGCAAATATAAATAGATTTAATACTAGACGTCAAGAGCCAAGACAGACTACATAATATCATAGGGGTAACACATTTAGGCTAGAATAATTAATTTCAAAAATATCGTATCATATTTGATTAATGACGACACTTAATTGCTTTCACTAAAAAACCGGCGCCAAACGCGGTAAAATTAATTTTGGCGCGCTTTTTTCATTGTAGTGAATTATCAGCGTTGTATTGATAACGTTATCAATATTTCATATTGATAATGTTATATTTGATTATATTCTATTTTATATATATATATATATTATTTACATTTAATTCCGAATCGAAATTCTATTTATATAATATTGTTATGCACGTCGTTGCGACTAGGAAACGGTTTTTGAATTGAGAGTTTTCAATTTTGTGGATTTTACCTGTGTGCCGTTGGCAATGCGGTTGGCGGTCCTGGAGGGCGGTGGGTACCGCGGCGGAGTCTTGTTGCGCGCAATGAACGACTCTGGTACGTCGACGGCCATCTCGCGGTGAGGCCCATTGTCGAGGGTGCTCATCATGACCATCATGTCCAGCGTTTCGCTATCGTTGTCGTCGACCGCTCTCTTTTTTTCCAGCGTACCGACTTCACTGCCCACGCGGACAATGCCGCCACTTCTGCGACGAGACCTGTTGGCAAGACAAAAATGTCGTTGAGTACGCACTAAGCAAAGGTGATAAATAAAAAGGCTGGGGGGGGGGTTCGGAAATTGGTTATATTTTACCCTTGAACGTTAGACATTGGACCATGAAAATGTCTAATGATCAGACGTTTTTCTGTGAACATACCATATCTTATCAGCCGATTATCTTATCAATAATCTCTTATCAGCTGATTATCTTATCAATTATCTCTTATCAGCTGATTCTTATGCCAACTAAGTAAATTTTTTATTTTTACAATTACGAATAACAACATTTTGGAAAATTAACGTTTAAAATGTCATAATGAAAATGATTGTCTATACATAGTTTAACAGACTGGTCCGACCGTATGCAAAATATTGTGTTTATTTTTTTTAAAATTATTTTGTTAATGTTAACAGCTAAAAAAGTATTTATAAAGTAAGTTATACGAGTAAATGTTTACTATGTTAATATTTTGTTAAAATTACTTAAAAATTAACTCATAAAAAAATGTAGAACTTGATATATTTTAGATTTTTTTTTCCCAATAATTTTAAACGACTAGGTATGTGCGAAAAAATGATTAGTACAATTAATAGTAAATTAATAACTTCAATTATTCGGTCCTTGTTTTTTTAAGCAATTTGAATGCATTTTATGCATGTTAATATTTTTGAAAGGAATTATCGGCATTTTTTTGAGTTCAAAGTGAATCATTTTTTTATTGTCAATAAATTCATAGGTTATGTAACATAACGGAATGAAAAATTCGGAAAAAGTGTCGCATAGAATACAAATAGTGCCACAACGATAAGTTTTGTCCACAAAATGAAGACATATTTCAATAACCCATAAAAGACTATTACTGCCGTTTAAATATATAAAAGATTTTTTTTTTTTGAAAGCGATACGAGTCTTTTTTTTTAATAATACATTTAGGTATTTTTTCGAATTATTTTTTATTGTTTTTCGCTTTTTTTTAAGGGGTTTTTATTATTGTTTTTTCAAGGCATCAAGTAGTTGCCGCCTAGTAAACAGTAATACAAAATATGCAGGCAAGACCACGTGTATTATTATTGTACGGTTGGTGCGACTGAAGAAATTTATAGTTCTACCGTGGTAATATTATTACAGCAATGTCATTAATGTGTTATTATTAGAATAACACATTAATAAAATACTATACTCTTACCTATACACACACTATTTATATAGTATACTTGGCCGTACAATCTGCGCGCGAATCGATTTACGTTCATATTATTATATTTTAATCGCATTCCCGACAAACACGGCGGCCGTACTAATAGCTGGTATCGGATAACGATTATTTATTTTTTTTTCATTTTACCAGGATAATATAATGTAATATTTTCCCTGTCGTTTGGCCGGCAAGTGGATAACACTTACAGCAAAACGGTGCGAGGAAATTTCCACGGGTTCTCAACCTTCGACCGGGTTACTCGGTCACGGCAAGTATACGATAATAATTAGGATAAAATATAAAATAAAAAAACGTAATTACCATTTACCGTCATCGCAGCTGTACTAACGGAAACGGAAACGGTCCGTTTTCAACCGTGTATACGTACCGTGTACCTACGGATGTGCACCGAACACAAACATAATAATAAGGTGTTAGTCTTGGAAAAAAACCAAAATCGTGCACAGCACGGAAGAAGATTAAAAAACAAATCACCAACCACAGAGGATCGTTAAGTAAGTAGCGCAAAAAAAAAAAAAGCAAAACATATTTTAAACCCCATTTTTAACGTGCTCGAAAATAATAAGGTTTTTAATTATTATTGAAATTTTACGACCTGTCGACACCACAACATTACCCATACATCATTTTGTACAGAAAATAGGCCGTACCTTTATTGGACGCCTACTAGGGTTGGAAATGTTAATATAAAAAGACTTTTGTAGCATTATTTTTAATTAAAAGTTAAAAACAAATTAACCAAATAGGATACCTACACACAATAGAGAAATTAAAATGTTTTAATAACATCACAATTTATTTTAAGGTAAATGCGCGAAACGTTTTTATCGTCAACCGGCTCTCGCCAGTCTTATCACATTTGTTATCAGTTGATATTCCTCATTATCAATAAATACCCTTATCACATTATCTTGTTATTATATCCTATCAACAATTAATAATCAGTATTATCTTATCAGTTTATTTTAGTTTGGTCAGTTAAGCCCAGCTTTAAATGCTAGCTCGGCCAATTATGTACTACTATACGTCATATTATACTAGTATAATATATTAGTCGGAAACAATTCTTAAATTCTAAACCTATAAGAAAATATACAAACAGTTTTATTCTGACTTACAGCAGGACTTTAAAAAACAAAACGAAACAAAACGCGTCTTCGAAAAATGTAAAAATTAAGATAATAAGCGTACAAAACGTAATATGATAATATTAATAGCTGTACATAATAGTTGAATTATTATGTATAAAATAACACAATTTTGGTCGTGACTTACGATGACCGTGACGTTTAACATTGACGTGATTTCCGTAAAGCTCTCAATCCGGAAAAACCGAATGTACATCATTTAGATTACTGAATTATATTTACTTTAGAGCTGGACGGCAGTAGTTATGCGATTTAGGTGGCCTATCCGTTGATAATTCGAGGCGCTTAAAGCTTTGGTTAACGGTTTACAGCAACGGAGCCAGTGTCGCGTTGACGACCAAGTAAAAATATATAATATACAAACACACTAAATAAAATAACGTTTTCCTTGAATGGATAAAAAACACACGCGTTAATTGAGCATACCGACCGATTTTTTATTTTTTAAACTAGTCTACGACAGCGCACATAAACCTCCTAAGCTGTAGTGGTGGTGTGTATATTTTATGAGAACATAGGTTTTATCGTTTTAGTCACGCCGTGTGCAACGGCATTGGAGATTGACGAAATAAAAATCAACCAAAACTCTTCACGCAGAAAAACCATAATAATAATAATAATAATAATATGAAATCGAATAATGTCCCACACGAATATTATAATCGCACTGCATACATAGTACACTATCAATAACGATTTGCAACGGGTCAGTTTTGCAGCCATATACCATATTTTTATTTCTCCTTGTCGCGCAAACCGATCCGACCTTAAAATTATTCACATATTTGACCGTCACAACAATATTATATTACTTTGTTGGAGCGCAACAAAAAGTCAAACAAAATACTAAAAAAAAGGAAAATTAAAAATCACAATATTACCGTGGATTAGATATGTACCAGATGGCGCACAGCTATTAAAGCAATGTAAACAAACCGAAACCCTCCTCAACTGTTTCACAACTAGTGGTTATTGATTGTTATCACCGATATATTATGATACAATAACTATTCGACAACGTTTTATTATAGTTATATTATGTTTTGTACGATAATTCGAGTTTCTACAATGTGGTCACACTGAGTCGAGGAGGACTTCAGTTATCAGTAAATGATATCATTGGTACCACGGTTTTGTAAATTCAGAAAATTCGAATTTCCTTCAACTCTGTCATTTTACATAATATCAAGGAGACAGTTATAATATAATATAATATTAACAAGCACAACGAATTTAGACGGATGTAGAATCGACAATCTGGTCAACAGTGTGAAAGGTGACCGACTATAGTGTTATTGTATCCCATTGCTCCTATTTACTGTAACCCAATACGAAGAAACTGGTATGTATACTGTGTACCTATCTTTTTCCTTATAATAATAACAAACAAAATATATTTTTTTGTGATTTCACCAGCTGCCCGTCCGTTGTCCTCGGGACCGGATTTATCAAGGAAGTGAAGCCCTAAAGTATAATTACCTACAGTTAGTAACGTTAAATCATAACGTTTAACTTTGAGGGCCTCTTCGCGCGCCAACTACTCGGTAAACACAGTCCTAGTGAAATAACACCTATGCCCTTTCAATGTATGACATCATCATCATCACAATAATAATAATAATAATAATAATACAATTTAACAGTTGTGAATATTTTCCCATAAAACACCATGTTTATTTTGCCGAATGATTTGCCAATATTTAACAAAGACTTCATTGTCTTTCGCGACAAATATAAAATCAAATATTCATTGAAAATAAAAACACATTTATATGCAAAAACTAAAAAAAAAAGTAATAAATATTGAAATAATAATTACTAAATAATAATATAATATTGTTTTCGAATAATGATTTCAAATACTTTTTTAATTTGAACTTGAAATATATTTTTATTACAATACAAACGGAAAGAATAATTAAAATAAAAACATTTTTTTTAATTCGTGTAAAAAAAAATATTAAATAAAAAAAAGTATTATATGCTCTTAATTAAAAATATGTATTCTAAGTAAAGTAACATAAAATAATCGTAGTTTTTGTTTAAACAATGTATTATTTAAAAAAATTAATTATTAAAATTTCAAATACCTAATATTATATATTTTTTTTTTAAGATGTTATTCATTTATGTGAAAATAAACAAAATTTTACAAAATAAAAAGATATATTTTATTTTTCAGATAGATAAATGTGTGTGTACATATAAATATATTTTTTAATTTAATTCTTTGATGGATCATCAATTGAAAGCATATTTAAATAAATTGTTATTATTTTTTTTTGTTATTATTAAAATTTGTTTGTAAAATAATGTAATGGAAGTTATTATTCTGATCTATATTCGAATAAAAATCAAATTATATTTATTATTTCGGCTTGTATGTATTTATTTTTTTTTTTTAATAATGCCCAAATTTGACTGACAAGACTGTTCAATTTTCAAAATATATATTATAGCGTTAAGAGTAGTTGCAAAATTTAAAAAATTTTCAAACGGTCTGCCGGTCACCGACAATAACAATATTGTAACATATTCCTTCACTGACCGGCCAACAGATGCTCTATATGAATACACTATATGCGGTAACAGGTGGAAAACAGGTGGCCCAGAGTATGTACACTAAGTAT